AAAATATGCTGATGTATTCTATTTGTTTAATCTTTTAAATAATATTTATGTACAGTTTGGGTTATTTAGAATAACTTCTCAGAAGTATAATATTGGGTCAGAGTTCTAATTATTATATAATCTTGGCATTTTTTAGGATGCATTTCCGAGCTGGGATTGGCACAATCACAGGTAGAGAGATTTTCCATAGCCAGTTTATAATCCTTGCACCATATTGGTTGGTATAAAGTTCTTCCTAACTGAGGCTTACCTGTTACTTTAATATTTTAAATAAACATTTAATTTTGAAATAATTCTAGATGTATAGAAAGTCACAGGCTAGTACCCCTCTATACTGGTTTTCTTACATTACTATGGTGTATTTGTCTAAACCAGGGGTGGGCAAACTTTTTGACTCGAGGGCCACAATGGGTTCTTAAACTGGACCGGAGGGCCGGAACAAAAGCATGGATGGAGTGTTTGTGTGAACTAATATAAATTCAAAGTAAACATCATTACATAAAAGGGTACGGTCTTTTTTTGCGGGCCGTAGTTTGCCCACGGCTGGTCTAAACTAAGAAACCATTATTTGTACTACAGTAGGTCCTCGGGTTACAGGTTACGTTGGAGATCCGTTCCTTTGGCGCGACGTAATGCGATTTTTGCCGTAAGTGGGAACCCACCTGCATAAGCACCTACGTCATTCACATGGAGCACATACACAGCAGTAATGAAGTGAAACAGTAAAAAAAATTTAAAAGACAGATAACAATTCCTGACCTTTACTTGTGGTAAATAAATAATAAAAAACATAAAGCACATATGTACACACATTGAAATGATGGAACTTTTTTTTTTTTAATAAATAAACGGGAGATGGCAAGGTAACCATGAAATGACGTACATCGAGTCTGGTTTTATTTGGATTTTACCAGTTTTTCTATTCTCTTTTTCTGTGCTAGGGTCCAATCTGGGTACCACATTACATTTGGTACCCTTGCTTTTTGAATCTGCAAACATTTATATATCACTATTTTGATTTTTAAAAAGAATAAAAAACGTTTCAAAATGCATTAATCACTTAAGCCGTGAGATGAGAATGCCAGTTCTAGGCTATTGCTTTTGTTTGAATTATGACTTGCTACATAAATTTTGTTATCTGGGTACACTAGGTATTTCAGTTTTCTTAGTCCTATATACTAATATGGTGTCTGATCATCCAGTCGGCCGTTCAGCCAATCAAAACGTAATATACTAATGATATGCTAAGGCCGCTCAACCGCTCGCTATGATGTGCACTGACCACCAGGGGCAGATAGTTGACTGGTCGACCAGTCGCTATGACATGCACTGACCACCAGGGGGAAGGCGCTCCAACCGGTAGGTGAGCTTGCTGCTGGGGTCCAGCTGATCGGGACTGAGTCAGATGGGCCAGACACGCCCTGAAGCCCTATGGCGGTCCCTCCCTGGCTGGCCAACCTCCTGCATCCCTCCCCGGCCCCAATCATGCACTGGTGGGGTCCCTCGGCTTGGCCTGCGCCCTGTCACTATTTGAGACCCCCTCGGGGGATGTCAGAGAGCCAGTTTCGGCCGATCCTGCAGGCCAGGCCGAGGGGCCCCACTGGTGCACAAATTAGTATAACTAGAGGCCCGATGCACAAAGATTCGTGCAAGAATGGGCCATCCTTCCCCTGGCTGCCGGCACCGCCTTCGCTCCAGCCGGAGCCACCTTTCTGCCTTTGTTCTGGCCCGGAGCCGCCTTTCCGCCTTCCTACGCTGCCCAGAGGCCCGAAGCCACCTTTCTGCATTCTTTCTTTTGCCTTCCCATGCTGCCCAGAGCCCTGAGCAGCTGGGGCTGTGTGGAACGCCCCCAGCCGCTCGGCGACTGTATGCAAATTAAACTGCCATCTTTGTTGTGTTAATTTGCATACTCACTCCTGATTGGCTGGTGGGTGTCGTGAAGGTATAGTCAATTTGCATCTTTCTCTATATTAGTGTAGATATTCATAGTACTAACTTTACTAAATTGTTGTTTGATGTAAATGATATAATGAACATCAATCTCTTAATATAAAGCCTGGCTTACAGAGCTCATACAAAAAAAACCTAAGCACTATTATTATTGCTATATATGTTACTTTTTAGTCAAAAGAACAGAAACCCTTAGGAAAAAATCTTGTCCATAGGCCTAAATCATTCCTGACACCACTTCATCCTTTTTGATAGGAAGCAGATGGGATTGACAGATTGTGCTCTTTTTAAGCAAGGCTTGCCCAATGTCCATGTGGCTCCTTTAGAAAAGTGTGCAAGCTGTAGAAAGGAGAATGGGAATTTTGTAGTATCTGAATGTCCTTTGTTGAAATTTTAATAATTTACTTTGTAAAGATTTTTGGCTGAATATTTCTTTGAGAATTGTTTGCTTTATTGATACTAATTTTTCTAAAGGGTAGAATTTAAATGAGTTAATATTTGTGAAGCATTTAAGCAGTGCATGCCACAGAATGAGCACTATGGAAGTATTTGCTTATTCCTCAGTGCCTCAAACAAGATAAAAGCATATTTTGGTTACTTATTATAATGATCCTCTGGAGCAAAAATCAATTGAAATAACAAGAGATGAGAGGAACATTAGCCCTCTCAGATAGTCACCTGGTTGTCCCTGAAGGGCTTGCTTTCTGACCACACCTCTTAGCAGTCTGCTGCCATTGTACTATAGAGATGGATTCAAGCAACTAAAGGTACCTTTGGACATAGTAGCTGTCATTTGTACTTATGAAGGAATAAAGAGAGAATGAAATTATTTAGGTAGTTATTTCTCTTATCTGTCCTGCAGTTTAAATTTCATCGCCATAAAAAGTATCCCAACGGCCGAGGCCCGAGGCCATGGAGGCCAGGGGCCGGGGCCAAGGCCCTTGCACAAATTTTGTGCATCGGGCCTCTACTATATAATAGAATTCCTTTTACTCCTGTCTTCCAGCCTCTTGATTTCTCTTCCCCAGAGGTTCCAGTTCTGTGTTTCTTCTAGAAAATGAATATGTATATTTGTGTGCATGCTCACAAATATATATATTTTTAAATTGTAGGCTATTATGTTTTACCTATATATCATTAACTATGAATCTTGATTCTCCTTAGTATCTCCCAAATGGGTGATACTAAGATGGTTTATTTATTTTTACAATATACAAAATAAATTTATTACAAGATTGTAGATAAAAAATAATTAGCCATTTACATTCAATAAGCATTAATATTTCAAGAAAAACAATTTTAAATATAATATTACATGCATTAAACATTAATATTTTAAGAGAAAATATTTTAAATATAATATTACCAAAACTGTACTAACATAATATCATAAAAGTTGTAGGAAATATTAAAAATCTGCAAATAATAGGATTACTTCTTTTTTTTTTTTTCCAATATATTTTATTGATTTTTTACAGAGAGGAAGGGAGAGAGATAGAGAGTTAGAAACATTGATGGGAGAGAAACATCGATCAGCCGCCTCCTGCACATCTCCTACTGGCGATGTGCCCGCAACCAAGGTACGTGCCCTTGACCGGAATCGAACCTGGGACCTTTCAGTCCGCAGGCCAATGCTCTATCCACTGAGCCAAACCGGTTTCGGCAGGATTACTTCTATTATATTCTAAAATATTTTATTCCCTTTGGCTCTTTTTGTTCATCATTTTATGTTCATTATATTCCACAAATGAGTGAGACCATGTGATATTTATTTTTGTCCAAATGGCTTACTTCGCTTAGCTAAGATAGTTTTATATATTTTACTTTTTCTAACAGTGCTGCAGTGAATATTTGTATATATAGGAGTAAACCTATATGTTCTTAGAATTTGGTTGAAGAATATGTGCAATTGCAATTTTGGATAGATTTTATGAAATTTCCTTTTACTGAGATTGTACCAGTTTAATGATATCAGCAGTGTGAGTTTCTGCATAATCTCATGGAGAAAATGATTACCAAACCTTTGATCTTTGCCAATTTGACCCATGAAATTGATATCTCAATGTATTCTTAATTTTCATTTCTTTTATGAATATGAGGTTAGACATATTTTAAGATCCATTTGTGGGGGGTGTTTCTGGTCCATTTTTCTATCACCTTGGTCATTTTCTTATAGGACCTTTATATTAGGGAGATTAGCTTATGATTTGAAATGCAGTTCCTTAAATCTTACCATGTAATATGCTATTGTTTTACTTTAGGCTTCTTTAATTTAACTTTTTAACTTAAAATAAGCATTGACATAGTTTAAAGAACAACATAGTTCTGTAAGGCCATGGAGATTCACCAGAACCAGCCATTTCTAAATCTTAGTTCCTGATTTCTTTGGAGTTTATCTTCAAATCTCTAAATCATGTGCTTGTTGATCCCCCTTCCCCCCAGTTTTAGGAATTATTTATCCCATTACCGAAGATGAGATTTACCACTTTCACCCCTGTACCCCAAACACCCACACTCTTCCTGTTCTTCCTCATCTGATCAAGAGAGCATTACTTTTTATTTCTTGTGCTATATATTGAACCCTAGAGTTATTGTATAAGTTGAATTATAAAAAAAAAATTTACGAAAAAACAACCTTGTAGTTTGCTTAGTGTTAAAAAAAAAAAAATTAACCACGTTTTGTTTCTTGGTTTTCCTTTCTCCTAGAACTGTGGTTCTCAACTTGCTGCACATATGAAGCACCAGAGATGCTTTAAAAAATTACTGATATCTGAGTCCCATCCCCAGAGATTCTGATTTAATTGGTTTGATGATTGTAATGTGCTAGGATTTCGAAACCATTGTTGTAGAAAAAGGATGTGCAGGGAAATTTTCTTGTTTTGTGTGTGTGTGTGTGTGTGTGTTTTCTGTTTAGTAAATTCAGATAAATCTGAAAAATATACTTGGATAGGAGTTACTAGAGAATATATGAGATAGTATAGGTGAATTCTCTTGTCAGATTTAAATATATAACACCTATAAAATTTTTTCTTTCAGATTAATTATTAAACATGGGTGCATTTTTGGATAAACCCAAAACTGAGAAACATAATGCTCATGGTGCTGGGAATGGTTTACGTTATGGCCTGAGCAGCATGCAAGGATGGAGAGTGGAAATGGAAGACGCACACACAGCTGTTGTAGGTATTCCTCACGGCTTGGAAGACTGGTCATTTTTTGCAGTTTATGATGGTCATGCTGGATCCCGAGTGGCAAATTACTGCTCAACACATTTATTAGAACACATCACTAATAATGAAGACTTCAGGGCAGCTGCAAAATCAGGATCTGCTCATGAGCCTTCAGTGGAAAATGTCAAGAATGGTATCAGAACTGGCTTTTTGAAAATTGATGAATTCATGCGTAACTTTTCAGACCTCAGAAATGGAATGGACAGGAGTGGTTCAACTGCAGTGGGAGTTATGATTTCACCGAAGCATGTCTACTTTATCAACTGTGGTGATTCACGTGCTGTTCTGTGTAGGAATGGACAAGTCTGCTTTTCCACCCAGGATCACAAGCCTTGCAATCCAAGGGAGAAGGAGCGTATCCAAAATGCAGGAGGCAGCGTAATGATACAGCGTGTTAATGGTTCATTAGCAGTGTCTCGTGCTCTGGGGGACTATGATTACAAGTGTGTTGATGGCAAGGGCCCAACAGAACAACTAGTTTCTCCAGAGCCTGAGGTTTATGAACTTTTAAGAGCAGAAGATGATGAATTTATCGTTTTGGCTTGTGATGGGATCTGGGATGTTATGAGTAATGAGGAGCTCTGTGATTTTGTTAAATCTAGGCTTGAGGTATCTGATGACCTGGAAAATGTGTGCAATTGGGTAGTGGACACTTGTTTACATAAGGTATGTAAGTCTTTTTGTTATAATTAAAATACCCTATTAATTTTGAAAAAACATGGTAAGTAAAATCAAGCAAACAAATTTTTAAAACTTAATATTTTCATTATGGTTGCATATTTTTAAGTTATTTTCTTCAGCAGAAATGAAACCTTTTTTTTTTTAAGCCATTCTCATTTGCCTCAACCTTCTAATTTGAAAATTAAGTTGAATAAATTTCTGTGGTATTTGTTGTCATTTAAGTACTTTATGGCTTGTTGCTGTGGCAGAGCATCTATACAGAATGTGACTTTTAAAAAATATATGTTTTTATTGATTTCAGAGAGAGGGAGGAGAGGGAGAGAAATATAGAAACATCAGTGATGAGAGGAAATCATCGATCATCTGCCTTCTGCATGCATGCCTCCCATTGGGAATCTAGCCCACAATCTAATCATGTGCCCTGACTGGGAATTGAACTGTGACCTCCTGGTTCATGGGTCGACACTCAGCTACTGAACTGAGCCACACCAGCCAGGCCAGAACGTGACTTTAATTCAAATTCTCAGCATTGGCAATAGCTGTCTTAAATCTTATTATGAAGCAGTTTGACGTATCCTATATAATAAAAGGGTAATATGCAAATTGACCCTAACAGCAGAACAAACTGGGAATGACTGGTCACTATGACACACACTGACCACCAGGGGGCAGACGCTCAATGCAGGAGCTGCCCCCTGGTGGTCAGTGCGCTTTCACAGGGGGAGCTCTGCTCAGCCACAAGCCAGGCTGACGGCTGCCAGCACAGCGGTGGTGGCGGGAGCCTCTCCCGCCTCCTCAGCAGCGCTAAGGATGTCTGACTGCAGCTTAGGCCTGCTCTCCACTGGCAAGTGGACATCCCCTGAGGGCTCCCAGGCTGCCAGAGGGATGTCTGACTGCCAGCTGAGGCCCGATCCCCCAGGGAGTGGACCTAAGCCAGCAGGTGGACATCCCCCGAGGGGTCCCAGACTTTGAGAGGGCACAGGCCGGGCTGAGGGACCCCCCTGAGTGCACAAATTTTTGTGCACCAGGCCTCTAGTATAAGTATAATTCTGTGCTAGATACACAAAAGATCAAGAGCCACATAAAATGTTGGAAGATACAGCAGAACCCTAGACTAGGTAAAGTTTGTAATTTAGTTTTGAGCCTCCTAGCAGGTAAGAAAAAAACAAGTAAAGGTATGAGTTATGTATTTTTTATTCATCAGCTGCCTCCTGCATGCCCTCTACTGGGGATCGAGCTTGCAATTTGGGCATGTGCCCTGACCGGAATCTAACCATGACTTCCTGGTTCATAGGTTGACGGTCAACCACTGAGCCATGCCAGCAAGGCTCAATCTTCTTTTTCATTTAATATATTGTAGAGAGATCTCCATGTTTGTAAGTATTGTAGATAAACAGCACTCCCTTTTATTGAAAGGATGTTAGTTTTCAGGAATTTTGACCCCACCTTTCTGAACGTGGAGTTTAAATGATTCTGGGGAAATATTTCACTTGATAGCTTTTAGTTTGAGCTGATAAATATGCCTTTTGGTAGTGTTAAAAGATTCTAGACAGAGTTCTAGAATCTCATGAATCATAAATGATAGTAATAGGGACAAGAGGCTGGAATACGTGATTCATCATAGTTCTTTGAATGAAACTCTGCTCAAATTGAAATCAGTTTTGAGAAGTTTAGTTAGCTGTTTTGTGTTGAAACATACAGATTTATGACCCACTCTCTGTTACTTAGGGAGTTAAGTAAACCTCTTAATCATTCCTATTTTCTACCCACATAATTTTGTCACTCCACTTGTTTGTATTGTAAAACTAAGGGTTAGCAATATTATAAAACAATGTGATTAAAATAGAATGTAATTGCTTTGAATTTAGTTTGAAAGATTGAATATAAATTTTTAAATCCATGGAAAGCATTTGGGCCAGTGCTTAGCACTTAGCAATTGCTCAGTAGGTGTTGGTTGCTCAGTAGGAATAGATCCAGTTTTTAAGTAGATGTTTCCATGATAATAGATTTAAATGAAGTGTTAATATTTTCTAGCACTTCTAACACATTATGTCCTAGTAGTTTACAAGCACTTTTATATGTTAACTCATGAAATCTAGGGAGATTGTAATAATCATCATAATCACAATAGTATCAGTAAATTATTACTTTCTATGAACCAAATGTTATTCTAAACACTTTACACTTTAAAAAACTCATTTAATTTTCACAACCATGAAAACTAAGTAGCATTAGTATTGTTTTTGATAATCATTTTTCAGGATTGCCTTTTTACAGTATGAAGCTATAAATGTAGGATGAATACTTATATCCTGTCAGCTGGAAAATTAACTGATTATGCAGGGTGGTTTGCATAAAACCAAAAGGGAAGAATCTTTTTAAATTGCTGAATAAAAATTACTGAGACACATTTATAGTTTGTGTTTAGAGGAAAGTTATCTTCATGTAGAAATAGAAGCAGCATCTTTGAAATTACATGTTGAAGTGTAAATGTAAATTATTTCCTTTAAATATCTTAGAATATTTAAACTTCTTGAAACTATCAGTTAATTTTCCAACTGATGGGATATGATGTATGTTTTATAACTTAAAATCGAATGGAAATTATTTATATTTATATATTGGCATATATATAAATAATTTCCATTTGATTTTTAAGTCATATATATATGTGTGTGTGTGTGTGTGTATATATATAGATAGATAGATAGATAGATAGATAGATATAGATATGATAGATAAGGAATGGCTAAGCAATGCTCATACTATTGTTACTAAAATAGAAAATAGTTAGAAGAAACTGGGATTTCTAAAAATATGAGGTATTCTGTTTATTCATAAAATTGCTTTAAAAATCATTAGTATTCAAGTGAATCTTGGACTTGAATATCTATGGTATAAAGTTTTGCCTGATCTGAACTTACATAGTAAAATCCTGGTTCTTGTGAAAGAATGTATTGACTTTCTCTTTCTCTCTCTTTTCTCTCTCTCTCTCTCTCTCTCTCTCTCTCTCTCTCTCTCTCTCTCTCTCTCTCTCTTTCTCTTTTGCTATTTGAAACCATTGTGTATGTGTTTGTATTAATACAGCCAATGCAGTATTTCTAATATTAATCATGAAAGTTTTGTTGGGTTTCATTAAGGAATGAAAGTAGTTTGAGCCATTTTGGAAATCCTGATTTCCCTCCACCCTTGGAGATACTGAGAAGCTGATAATATATACTTAGGATGGTTCTTCCTACTAAAGCATGAGAGTGTATGGAGGGAGTTTACTTTTTTAAAGTATATTTTTATTGATTTCAGAGAGGTAGGGGGAGGGGAGAGAGAGAGAGAGAGAGAGAGAGAGAGAGAGAGAGAGAGACCTCAATGATGAGAGAGATTCCTTGATTGGCTGCCTCCTGCATGCCCCCAACTAGGGCATGTGCCCTGACTGGGAATCAAATCATGACCTCCTGGTTCATAGGTTGATGTTCAAACACAGCCACACCAGCAGGTTTACTCTTTTTGAAGTCTTCTCAAGACCTGACCTCCCCTGCGTTCAAACTTTGCTCCATTGAGTATTAGGAGTTGATGGCAGAAGTTTTTCAAGGCCTGTCTATCTTTTCTGCTTGGTCATTTGGGTTCTGAAAAGGTGGAAAGTCTGAACCAAACAATGCCTGCCTAGATTCATGTCATAATGACTGAAAAGACTGGAATGGGTATGGCCTTGGCTTTTTTCATTTGGGTTGACACGCCCCACTATCAAACAGAAATAGCCTACTGCCTCCTTTGACTTAATGTTTTTAGAATGATGAATAGAAAAAGGGATGTTTCAAATAGTTCTTTGGAATTAAAATAAATGTGTTAAATGTGTACATTCTGGATGATTAAACTGTAATTGCTTAATTAACTGCTTTGAAGTAAATAGAAAGTTGGTAGACTATAAAAATAATTATTTTTCTTTCTTTAATATATAGGGAAGTCGCGATAACATGAGTATTGTACTAGTTTGCTTTCCAAATGCCCCCAAGGTCTCAGATAATGCAGTGAGAAAAGATTCAGAGTTGGATAAGTACTTGGAATCACGGATTGAAGGTAAGAAAGATGCTTTTTTTTTGTTTGTTTTTAATTTAGAAAGGAAAGGAAAAGTATACTTCCTTGTTTATAAAATAGCTTTTAAAAAAATTTCCATCTGTATAAGATTTACTATCACATCATGGACCAATGTGTGGGGGTTTCTTGGCACAGAGAAAACAAATATGTCTATTATACCACCAGAGAGAAACATAATTTGAAAAGAGTCTGTTAAAGCTTACTATTTTTGCTTTCCCTGATTACATTTTTGGTAATGAGTGAAGAATCCAGTGTAATTGGCCTCAAGTTATCATGAACTTCAGTTCATGATAATTCCACTATAATTCAGTTCAGCTATAATTCCACTAACATCATAATTCTTCTGAAGTTAATTATAGGAATTCATTACCATATGTTTTAATCATACTGATAGAGTTAACACTGATATTGTGAAAGATTATTAGTTTTATTTTTTAACTTTATTTTGCAGTAATTTTAAACTTACAGGAAAGTTGCAAAAATATAGAGAGCTCCCATGTACATGTAGTACCTCTTATCTAGATTACCCATTTGTTTACATTATCTCTCATTTTACTCATCTCTCTCTATACTTTCTATAACATACACTCTCATTCTCGCTTTACCTCCTTTTTTCCCTAATTGATTCAATTTTCTGAAAGATTATTTTCTGAACCAATTGAGAATAATTGAAGATAATATTAACCCTCTACTTCTTAATGCTAAAAGGAACAGTATCTACCTAACCATAGTACATACATCAAAATTAGGATGTTAACATTGAAATTATATTACCATCTAATCTGTAGATTCCTGTTAAAATTTCCCTAGTTGTTCCAGTAATGCCTTTTATTGGATCTAGTCCAGAGCATGTGCTGCACTTTTCTGCTGAGCCTCTTTAGTCTCCCTCAATGTGAAAAAGTTGCATTGTGTTTTTCTTGTTTTTACTGACCGTGATATTTTGAAGAGTACAGGTTAGTTCGTTTCTAGAATGTCCCTCAATTTGGATTGGCTGATGTTTCCTCTTGATAAGATTCAGGTTGTACTTTGACAGAAATACTATAGAAGTGAAGCTAGATGCATGATGATATGGTAATTTTAACTTTCATCACTTGTTTGAGATGTTGTCTCTCGGGTTCCTCCATTGAAAAGTTAATATGTTATGCTTATTAATAAGTATTCAATGGGGAGGTACTTGAGATTATGTTAATAACCTATTTCTTCTCAAATTTTCACCTACCTTTTTGTTAATCTTCACCTGAGGTTGTTTGTCCATTGAGTTTTAGAGAATGGAAGGGAGAGAGAAACATCGATATCAGAGAGACACATTGATTGGTTGCCTCCTGCCTCCCACAAGTCCCGACCTGGGCCTTGTGTAGATACCTTCCTTGCTCCACATTGGCTTTGAACCCCATTCCAGGTAGTACCCCAACCAGTGATAAAGCTTTGCCTATTGTGCTCAGGCTTGGATAGCCCATATTGGTTGGACCTTGCTGCTGTCACCACTGTCAACTCCACCCCTGTAAGACTTACCTTGCTTGGCCTTACCTAATGTTTTTTGGGCTTAAAATCTATTATTATTCAGGAATAAGGGAGGGGAGAAGCTTGAATATAATTCCTGATATATTTGCGTTTAAATCTGCCATCTTATTTGTTTCCATATATTTCATCTGTTTTTTATTCTTTCTTGCCTTTTGGATTAATCATCATTTTCTGTTCTAGTTCATTCTTGCATTTGCTTATTAGTTGTACATTCTTTTAAAAATTTAATTAGCCCTGCCCAGTGTGGCTCAGTTGGTTGAGCATCATCCTGTGCGTTGAGGGATTGCCTGTTGATTCCTGGTCAGGGCACATATCCAGATTGTGGGCTCTATCCCCAGTCAAGGGCGTGCAAGAGGCAGCCAGCCAATCGATGTTTCTCTCTCTCTCTCCCCCTTGACCTTCCTCTCTCTCTCAAAATCAACTTTAAAAAATATTTAACAATTCAATAAGTGGTTACCCTGGAAACTTGAGAATGCATTAGAGATAATCATAGGATCCCCAACTTAATACTGCATTTTGATTTTATATGTGCTGGGGTTTTCGTTTTGTTTTTGTTTTTTTGTATATTTTTTTAATTTTTATTTATTGATTTTAGAGAGAGGAAGGAGGGAGGGGAAGAGAAACATTGATTTGTTCCACTTACTTATGCATTCATTGGTTGCTTCTTGTATGTACCCTGACCGAGGGATCTAACCTGCCACTTGGGCATATCAGGAACAACTGATCTACTCGGCTAGAACTACTTGTGTTGTTTTTTTAAGATATAAAATTACCTTTTATGAAGCTATGTCAATCATATTTTTTTTGCCTTGATGTCATTCTTATGAAGTTCTTTCCTCAATTCAATTACATATTAACCTATATTTTCTCCCAGCACTTTTATGGCTTGACTTACTTAAAAAATAGTAAATACATTTGAATGATAATGATTATGATGTGATAGGCTTATTGAATTTGGCTTATTATTGGTGAGGGTCTTCAAATGTGTAATTACCATAGGAAAACTACATTCTTTTACAGATTGGGTGGTGCAGATTTCTTGATGGAGTTTATATTTTAAAAATCTGTTTTCCATAAATTATAAATATAAATGGATCATGTAAATGTTTAATTTTTGTTCTAAGCATTAGCAGTTCTGTAATTTATACTCTTTTATATTCATTCATTTATTATTGATATTTAGAGAGGAAGGGAGAGAAACATCAATATGAGAAACATTGATCAGCTGCCTCCTGCATGCCCCCTACCAGGGATTGAGCCTGCAACCCAGGCATGTGCCCTGACTGGGAATTGAATCAGCAGCCTTTCAGTGCACCAGACAGCACCCAACCAACTGAGCCACACTGGCCAGGGCTGCTTCTTTATTTTAAATAAGTTGTTGTGGACATACTCTTTAGGTGTCAGAAAGCCTATAAGGCACCCCAGCTGTTTTGGCTCAATGGATAGAGCGTTGACCTGTGGACCAAAGGGTACCAGGCTCGATTCCAGTCAAGGGCATGTACCTCAGTTGCAGGTTCCTCCCTGGCCCGGGCCCTGGTAGGGGGCGTGCAGGAGGTAACCAACCAATGTGTTTCTCTTACATTGATATTTCTCTCTATCTTTCCCCCTCTCTTCCACTCTCTCTAAAAATCAATGGAAAAATATCCTCTGGTGAGGATTAAAATAAAAAAGCCTATAGGACAATTTGAAATTTGTCACTTTTCTATAATTTTTATCCATATATTACTTTTATTTTTCTATAATTATAGTATTAGTAATTTTATATTATTTTTATGTAAAATTAGATGAAAAGTGTTTTTTCCAAGTAGCTGTACTATGCTCATAGGGATAATTTTTAGGGATTATAAAGCATTTCACTAGTGGCTAGCTATACCAAAATTTTCCCCTTATTGTTGGGCATTTAATTTGTTCCACTTTTTGCTTTTATGAATAATGCTGGAATGAGCATATATACAAATAACTTTTTATATTACCTATTTTTGCTTTTGTGTGATAGCAGGTAATGCTTGCTTTTTATATTTTAACAAAGGTACTACCAAATACTACCTTGTTTAAATTCTGTGTGAATACTGAGTTGTCACATTAATTTAAGAACTTCTTTTTTTTAATCTACAGAAATTATGGAGAAGTTTAGTGAGGAAGGAATGCCTGATCTTGCCCATGTCATGCGCGTCTTGTCTGCAGAAAATATCCCAAATTTGCCTCCTGGAGGAGGTCTTGCTGGCAAGTAAGTAGAATAAAAAGACTAATTTTGTGTTTATTTATAATTAATAATTAAATAATTTTGGGTAAGAAGTGCATCAGTTATCTAAAGATGAAATGGGTTGATAGTTTGTATACTAGAGAAAAACTAAAATTTTATCCAAAAGAGATATTTTTAAAGAAATTTTCATACTCTGAGGATGAAGGTCCTTCTTTCCTTGGTAATTGAGAACATAATGTGTTGTGCTGGATCAAATTCTGTGAAATGTAGAAACTGTTCTTAGCAAGTGTTTTGTGTGTCAATTAATTTTTGAGTCACATAGTCAAAATGATGTATTATTTATTTAATTTTTTAAATATATTTTTATTGATATCAGAGAGGAAGCGAGAGGGAGAGAGAGAAACATCAATGATGAGAGAGAATCATTGATCGGCTGCCTCCTGCACGCCCCCTACTGGATGAGGATCCAGCCCACAACCCAGGCATATGCCCTTGACCGGAATCAAACCTGGGAACCTTCAGTCTGCAGGCCAACGCTCTATCCACTGAGTCACGCCGGCTAGGGCAAAATGACGTATTATTTTAAACACTCAGAAGTGTAATAATTGTAATTTAATAAAACTAAATTGTAATTTTTTTTAGGCGCAATATTATTGAAGCTGTTTATAGTAGGCTGAATCCACATAGAGAAAATGATGGGGTAAGTTTTAATTTATTTCTTAAGCATTTAAAATAATTTTATAATGTAAATATTAATAGATATGAGTATATTCACATAATGAAATCTATAATAAATTACTACTGCTTTTCATTTTAAGGAATCAATTAAAGTTTAAGGAAATGTGTTGAAATGGAAGTAGAGGTAAAGTTCTGTATTGCAGATAGGTTTGTTTTCACTTAATGCGTATCAGATACCTTTGTGTTTGAGCTGTACTTACTTTTCCCTGTATGTCTGCCTTTTCTTCTCTTTCTCCCTTAAAGCTTAATTTTGAGACAAAGAATATGCTTTCAAATATCTCCGTTTCTCCTTAAGCAGGCTTCTGCCATTACTAGAAGTTAGTGATAGTAAATGTTATTTTAATGACCAGACCTTCCAGTGCCCCTGTGTGCCTATTTGAATACGTGAGGATAATTTCTTTCTAATCTTATTGTGCTGTGGGTTTATGTGTTGAAGTGAGATAACCATTTTTTGTTGTACCCGGCTGTGCCCCTCAGAGCAAATCTCTTTATCCCTTTTACCTTCCTTAGAAATACTAATAAGCTGTCAACTGCTTCTCTGTAGTTCTAGTTCTGTCGTTTTTTAATTTTAGGACTAGTTTATCTTTTTTTTTTTTTAATTGCCCTAAACTTTAAAGTCAGTAATTCAAATAAGTATTTTCTCACAGGATTTTTTAAGTTTCTGGACATCTAAAAATTGATTACTTAATTTTTAATATGTATGCTTTCAAGATTTAAGAGAACCAAACTTAGGCATGAAACTTCTTGAGAAAAAAGTAGACTCACCTGTCTCTAGCTTCTCTTGGCAGGTCTTGAGAGAGACATCAGGCACTGGTAGAAATTATGTATAATCTCAATTGCATTGTTTTCCAGGGTTCATTATTGCATAGCAGTATCATATACTTTATCTTTTCTTAACAGTAAAAGTGTCTTGTCAAGGAAAATTTTACATATTAATAGATTTTATTTCTTAGTCTAGAGCAGTGATTCTGAGTCTTTTGTGGCAATTACCTCAAAATATTAAGAATTATATTAAAGCTGTGAAAACTAATCCTATCCTATCTAATAATAGAGAAACATGGTAATTAACCGTAACTTCGCTACCCTTCCCATTGGTTAATCAGCAAGATATGCAAATTAACTGCCAACCTAGATGGCGGCCGGCAGCCAGGCAGCTGAAGCGAACAGGAGGCTTGCTTGCTCCAGTGATGGAGGAAGCCAAGGTTCCCCGCCTGCCGCTGCCGGCCTCTGAGCTGCAGTCTAAGAAACAACGTTCCAATTATAGAAGCTAAACAATCCCCAGAAACCTGCTTTCAGCCGGCCGGCCTCGGAGCTGGAGCTGAAACAGTATTTCAATTATAGAAGCCAAACAAACCCAGATCAGCAGCCGAGGCTCAGAGCTAAAGCCGGCTCTCAGTTCCAGTGACAGCCATAGAAGGTAAATAAATCCCAGAAAAGAAAAAAAAAAAGAAAAAAAGGAGAGGTTTGGAGCTTCAGTCGCCCGCCAGCCTGAAAACGGCCCTCAGCCCCTCACCCAGACTGACCAGGCACCCCAGTGGGGACCCCCACCCTGAAGGGGGTGTGACCAGCTGCAAACAGCCATCATCGCCTCATCCAGGCTGGCCAGGCACCCAAGCGGGACCCCCACCCTGATCCAGGACACCCTTCAGGGCAAACCAGCCAGCCCCCACCCATGCACCAGGCCTCTGTCCTATATAGTAAAAGGGTAATATGCCTCCCAGCACCGGGATCAGCGGAGCCGCGAGGCCTCCCAGCACCGAGATCAGCTGAGCAGCGAGGCCTCACTGCCCCGGTGTCAAGCGGAGCCGCGAGGCCTCCTGGCCCCCTGATTGCGGCTCTGTGTGTGACAGGCGGCGGGCCACAACCCCCTGATCCGCCCTGCTCTGTGTGTGACAGGGGGCGGTGCCCCAATTCTCCTATCGGCCCTACTCTGTGCGTGACAGGGGGGAGCTCCCCAACCTCCTGATCGGCCCTGCTCTGTGCGTGACAGGGTACGGAGCCCCAATCCCCCTGATGGGCCCTGCTCTGCATGACAGGGGGGAGCTCCCCAACTCCCTGATGGGCCCTGCTCTGTGCGTGACAGGGGGAAGCGCCCCAACCCCCTGATCGGCCCTGTTCTGTGCGTGACGGGTTGGCGCCGCAACCTCTCCATCGACCCTGCCTTGAGTGTGACGGGGCGGTGCCCCAACCCCCCAATCGGCCCTACCCTGAGCGTGACTGGGGGTGGCATCGCAACCTCCCGATCCGCCCTGCTCTGTGCATGACAGGGGCTGGCGCCCCAACTCCCCAATTGGCCTTGCTCTGAGCCCGACCAGGGGCTGCACCTAGGGATTGGGCCTGCCCTCTGCCACCCAGGAGCGGACCTAAGCCAGCAGGTCGTTATCTCCCGAGGGGTCCTAGACTGTGAGAGGGCACAAGTGGGGCTGAGGGACACACACCCCTCCCCCCGCCAGTGCACAAATTTTTGTGCACCGGGCCTATAGTATGCCTAATAAAAGCCTAATATGCTAAGTGTCCAGTCATCCGTTCAACCAATCAAAGTATAATATGCTAATGATATACTAAGGCCGCACAACCCCTTGCTACTACGTGCACTGACCACTAGGAGGCAGACGCTCCAAACATTAGATTAGCTTGCTACTTGGGGTCTGGCTGATCGGGACTGAGCTAGATGGGCTGGACATGCCCTGGAGCCCTCCTGCGGTTCCTCCCAAGCTGGCCAACCTCCTGTGTCCCTTCCTGGCCCTGATTGTGCACCAGTGGGGTCCCTCTGCCTAGTGTGTGCCCTCTTGCAATCCAGGACCCCTTGGGGGATGTCAGAGAGCCGGTTTCAGCCTATCCCGCAGGCCAGGCTGAGGGACCCCACTGGTGCACGAATTTGTGCACCGGCCTTCTACTTTTAAAATAAAGATATGTCATGTGATACATTAGAGAATTTTAAATCAAATAATTGAAGATAAGGTATTGCCATAACTTAAAAAATGGTGGGAATTGGTAGTGGAGTGAAGAGAGTCTTACCTCTTCAGCTGGATTATAGGTTCCACATAGCACCCACCACTGTGGTTAGAAAAAGTAAGCCGTTTAAAGTTAGTTAAGATTCATTTATTAAGTATCCCTGTTTCCTCGTGTATTTGAAATGCAATGTGTAATCTTTTTTATTATTATTATATTTTATTGATTTTTTACAGAGAGGAAGGGAGAAGGAGAGAGAGTTAGAAACATCGATGAGAGAGAAACATCGATCAGCTGCCTCCTGCACACCCCCTACTGGGGATGTGCCCGCAACCAAGGTACATGCCCTTGACCGGAATCAAACCTGGGACCCTTCAGACCGCAGGCCTACGCTCTATCCACTGAGCCAAACCGGTTAGGGCGAAATGTGTAATCTTAAAAAAAAATTTTTTTTCATTATATCTTGCTGAATTTCTTGGTCCTTCAAAAAATTGGCTGCTTTCTCTCCAAACAAGATTTTTTTAAGTGTTTTATAACCCTAAATTTCTGTTTAATATATATACCGAGGATGACTTTTAAACTTTTTTTAAAAAAGAAAATACTTACAGTGACTATAAATAGGCAACATAACCATGAAGGGTGAGGGGAAATGCTCAGGATATAAAACTTGCCCTAAGTATAATTATTATATGACTGTATAAATTAAGGAGTTGTATACTAAATTATCTTTAGATATAAGCTTTCTATTAATGTCAGCAGATAAATTCTGACAAGTCTACCATGTAGTGAGGAGACTGCAAAACATAAGGCATGGTCCCACCCTTGATATGAATGCAGCTTGCAATATAGATATAAACACACAAGTTAAACAATAAAAATGTTTCACATCATTTAGTAAAGAATAAAAAAATGACAAAATCGAGAATGTGATTAATTACCACATTGTACAATGATTGTTGGGAAAATAATATTTTCAGAGAAAAGATAGGATTAGAAGAATGATTTGAATAGCAGAAATGAAATGAGGAGGATGGTAGCTCAAGTAGATGTGGGAGCCAAGAACAAAATAGAAACTATATTTGAAAGAAATGACATGATTTTTTAATGGAACAGAGAACTGCTGTGGTAAAAATAAGAATTTAGGATATCAGAAGTATTTTTGGAGAGGACTTTGGAACTTTATATTTTAAATTGAGGAGCCAGCACCATATATGTTTGGAGCATAAGAGAGATAGATTCAAAGGAATATCTGGTATTTTAACCTCTTAGAAACACATGCAGCCCTAGCTGGTTTGGCTCAGTGAGTAGAGCGGACTGAAAGGTCCTGGGTTCAATTCTGGACAAGGGCACATGCCCAGGTTGCAGGCTGGATCCCCAGTAGGGGCATGCAGGAGGCAGCCAGCCGATCAGTGATTCTCTCTCATCATTAATGTTTCTTTCTCTCCCTCTCCCTTCCTCTCTGAAATCCATAAAAATATATTACTAAGAAAAGAAACATGTAGTATTAGGTTAAAACAGTGTTTTTTGACCTTTTTCATCTCATGACACATCTAAACGAATCACAAAAATTCTGCAGCCCACCTGACAATTTTTTTAAAAGGATAATTCTGATTCATTCACACTGGACAGTATTGTTGTGTTGGCTGTTGTCATTTTTTTTATTTGACAATCTAAGGGAAAAGAGGTTGGTACCCCTGACTAAATAGTCAGATATTGCATGTTTTCAAAGCTCCATGGCACATCGGTTGGAAATCTCTGGGTTCAAGAGATGCTGGGTGTTAAGTAGTTGTGAAATAATTGCAGAAATCAGATGATAAGTATAAATTCATTATTAGTAGGTAGATATATGGATTAAAGAATTCCCTCTTTAGTATAATAATTAACTTGCAGCCCAGATTTTTATTTTGGGAAACAATGCTTTATTCTTTCAGAAAATCATGACCTTAGAAAAATGTTGACCCATAATCACAAGTAGCAGAAATGTACTAAAAATACAAAAGAAACAAAAAA